GTACTTGGGAGCCAAGCTTGTGGATGCAAATGAGCACATGAGGTAAGTCTTACCTCTGAATACTACGCTCTTCCATCGATATGATGGATGGCAGAAATTCTCGAAAATTCTTTCTACAACCATACAATCTGGATGCTACAATGGGACCTCGGAAGCGCTTACAGAGTAAAAGCTGGGAGTAGCTAAAACGGGAGTGTCGCGTGGAAGTTGAGGAGACCATCACGCTTGTGGCGGAGGGGATACCGGCCTTTTGGGGGAAACGTAAGAAGTAGCCTTGGCTCCTGGAAAAGAACTATCGAACAGTCAGTAAGATTGAGGGACATGGAGAGCCAGAGACTCTCATCAAGAATTAGTGGCCGCTGGAAGTATTTGTCGCTAGGCCTCACTCTGAGCCTCGATTCTGGGCCAAAACAGGTAAATCAGTGTAGCCTTACCGGGCAAATTAGTAGAAATTCGTTGCGTGAAACAATCTTACCCTTGATCGGCAAGAAACGAGTCATTGAGTTTACGGGCTTCTGAGGTCAGAATGCTAGCATTCTTCGCAAGCATGCATTACGTGTTTTCAGCTGGACAGATCCCCAGGGCCATGGGCCCAGCCATTCTCATCGATGTCTCAGGAGGGCCAGGCTACCTGTGATAAGGCTGATCAAGACATGTCCAAGGCTTCTATCGTGCATGGTGCCTGTCTCAACCAAAATCCCAACAAGAAGGCATTTGATGTGGGTGCTTCGGCGTCAGAATCAGTGTAATTTCGCAGTCAAGACACTGCAATGGCGATTTGCAACCGATTCATTCAGTGATGCTCTCCATGACTCGTAGTCTCTGGCTTGAGACAGCGGATATTCATGTCTCTGCTTGAAAAACAGCCACAGCCACGAATCCCGACTTAAGAGTAAGCCCGGCCAGTCTCAGCCCTATGAACTTTTGTTATGCGCCGCGTCGCGTGCAAGCCTCCGCAAAAGCGCATTGAATTGGCTGAAAGATTTCAAGAAGCAAAATAAATCTACATCATTCCAGATTCAAGAGGGCGATGCATTGCAGATCAGGTGGCATGTGCAGAGACTAATGCAGTATCCGCTTCATAGCTTCCAAGGTCTTTGACGCCAATTGTCATGACGGCTGCATATGAGGGCTAATTAACTCATGAAAGGTCATCAAGTAGCATAATGGGAACTGGATTGTCAGGGTCTCCAGCTTTGCATGAAGCAAAGTGGTAATACGTTGTACATAATCAGGGCACAGGCACTGAGACAACCGTCAGACCTTGCTGAATGTAGACAAGGTACTTGGCATGCTATTCCCCTGAAGTGGAGTTATTTATTTTATTCCTTGAGTCTGCTTCAGAACTTTCGAAACCTCTTTTCTGAAAGGAATGGCGTTCTAGGGGAATTTTCAGTTAGGGATAGGGAGAGAAGTGAGACTGCAAGCCCTATCCCGTCTCGGACTGTCTTTCTTGGCTTACACGGGACCTATGAACAATACTGGATCGCATAAAAGTTTCCCATCTGCATCGGCAGCATATGGATGTGTCATACATCAAAGCAGAGCTTTCACCTCGTGGGCCCATGAAAGCCTCCAACCGCTCGGCCTGGGATGCGGGTCACCGCATGGGCAGGTTGGCCCCACCTCGGCCCGAGACGGGACCACAATGCGGCGAGTGGGGCCAGTGGAGAGTGCCAGGGTTATTCAAGGTACGGTATCCGCGATACCTCGCCTTAGGACTCTTGAGATGCAGCGCTGCAGTGCTTTTGTGGACGAAACAACTAGAATTGAGATGCTCAAAAGCGACAATAGAGAAGTTGAAGATGTTTTAACCCAAAAATTTAGCACTTAAGCCGCACCTGGCACTGGTCTTTGCGCATGTCTCTTCCGTACATGGACATTGAACCTTCTATTCCATCAAGAATGCCTTCGACGACTCTTTGACAGGACCAGTGCCTGCCTCATTGAATCTCAGCCTTGAGTTAAAGGAGAGAAGGTGATCTCTTTTGTAAATGCCATCGCCGGTCGGGCAGCTTTCCAGATTGACTGAAGCTCGGGTGCACTGGTACTTGGTACCTTGTCCCTAACTAAGCGAGAAGGAACTCTTGCCGTTTCGCAAGTGACCTGCTGTCAGACCCCAGGGCAGTCTCCCTCCACGTGCCTTCCCACCTTTGAAGGCATGTTCTACCTCAGCCTCAGCCGCGTGGCTTTCCAACGTTTACGGCGTCAAATGGGAGACTTTCCGTCTGCTTCTGGCATCGACATTGACGCATAGAGCGCTGCTCCCATATCGAGTACAACTAAGGGATCACCACGTGCTGCAGAAAGTTTCGACATGCAATGCGTCATTTTGCTCCTTGCTGAAGTTTCGTGTCGACTTTTCTCAGGGCATCGCGCGCACGAGCTTCGTGTTCTCCGGACCCGTTCGGCACGCTCTGGCTGAGTCTTCGGTACAAGCTGGGATCCGTCTCAACAAATTCAGTGACACGGGACTGACGCTGTGCGGCTTGGTACGCTGTATTCGCCATCGTTCTCAAATTGAGTTAGATTCCGGGAGCTAACGGTGTAGGTAAGACACGGTAACGAACCTTGTCGCTGGAGCACCGTTGACAAGGACGGAGACGTCTGAGGCAGGCATACTGCAACTGAGGAGGTACTTTTTGACGAGAGAGAGGGATTGGAAACGTATCGTCTCAATTAGGGTAACTTGAAAACAATTTGATCGCTAATTTGCTATTGCAGATGACTCAATGTCAATGGTCTGGTTGAGGGGGAGAAACCCATGGAGTTCACTGCAGGGTCGCACGTACTTATGGCTGACGGCTGATCGTGAGGTCAGGGACAACACACTCATTCGCCCATCGTACTGGAGAGCGTGAGTCCAAGAGGAAGAGCTCTGGAGTCACACCAATTTTCAGGGCCTCAATCCCACGACAGAAAGGACAAAAGCCTTCGCAGTAGCCTCAAGTATGTCAGTGCTATGGACCTAGTCCCAATGCCGAGCGTGGGACGAATCCTATTGGATGGAATGTCGGGTCGGTCAAGAACCCGCCAAAGGCCATGTATGGGAAGAAAGAACAAGATCCCCGGTGTCATTTCGAAAAGGAGTCGGACTAAGACTCGTCGGTTTCACCGGCCCTGCGTCTTCGAGGGACCGCTCAGGATCGTGGGAGGGTGAACTCGGACGATCGCTTCACCCACCAGTCCGTCGGTCATTCTAGCCTCACATGACAAGACCAGCTGCAAGTTGCCTGCGGATGCCTTACGACGAGTTCATCGCCGTGAAGTTTCCAGCTACTTGGCGTCAACCTGTTCGGGCGGCTTCAATGCGATTGGCAATGTATCCGTCAAGCTTCTAGCCTTCCCCGCGGAAGCAAGGCAAGCATCCGGCACCAGCATGCCGGACACTCGACAACCCACTGAGGTGTCATTCTCTCAGAGATAACCAGGTCCCGCGGTCACATAACCCATGCTCCCCTAACTTGCCAACTCAATCGAGCCTGGCTCAGTGGTCAACAAGCAACTCTGCGCCAGTGGAACGGCCCATGCCGGCGCCACGTTGTTTTGCCCCAGGATGCTGTCGCCACACATCCACTTGCCTCTTTCGGTGTTGCGGAGGAAAAGGACAGCTTTATCAGTTGACTCTGGGGTTGTACGAATCGGATTTGGGAGAAACAGCAACCCCATACTCAGGTAGTCTTGCGCTGCATCGGCACTGAACGGATGTGTCCCTATTGGCGAGCGCAAGATGAGGCCAAGGAAAACTACCTTTCCGCCGACACCCCTTTTGTAATGGGAGATCTCAAAACGCCTCCTTCTTCGAACATGAGGCCCTGCTCTCGCCTCTCGATCGACAGGCTGATATTACATCGTGAGTAGTACATCGAGCTGTATCACACCTCTTAGTGCATGCATGGTACGAACAAGCGACAGGAGGAGGAAGAGTCAGGACTCCCAGAAGTAATGACGAATTTTGGGTGGTGCAAATTGGCACCCTTACTCATTACAGACTCCGCCATGTTTGCGCCCTTGAGAGGGTTGGGCGCTTGGAGTGACGTGCCACCGCCGGCTGCTGCAACCGAACTCCCCGTGCGCCCCCCTAAAGCCTAAGACGACGCCGATGTCTTGTGAAATTGAGATATGTCGAGAATCTCTGATGCGACAAGCCGGAGAGGCCTTCGGTGAGCTAGGTCCGGGCCTGAAGCCGGAGCAAAAGGCTGACCAGCAATTCGGAGGCTTCGAGCCTTTGGAGTTGGCTTAAGCGTTTAAACTTCATCCGTTCCCGCGCCGTCAAAGCTATGGTCTCACGTCATGACGTCGAGTGTGAGAAGCATTACCCCTCATTAACTTCAGATGACAGGAAGTGCTTGGGCCCCCCACACATCCGAAATATTTAGAGTCGCTCGTCAAGTCGTCCCCACGTCGTTTGCCATCGCATCTTGCGCGGTGAGAGGTCGCATGTCGGTGTAGCGGCATTCTTTTCGCTGGTGTGTCACACCTTTGTGCATGTTGCACCTCTTCGACTGCAACAAGATGATGCGCTTCAGATTTTGTGCTCGGCCACGTTTCCTCGCAGGGGTGCGGCCGTACTATTTTTTGAAAGGACCGAGCTGCATATAAGATGATAAGGTCATTTCACAATATCAGTTTTCAGATCAGGTCATGCCTCCAATATGCCGCTTCACGATGATCTCCCCGCAAACACTTTTCAGTGGTTCCTACTCGAAGCCTCGCGTCAATCCAGGCAACTTTTGGCGAAAAAGCGCTCGGCGGCGCGTGCAGTAGTCACCGCTACCTTCCACCGGTAAAGCAATTGACGTTTGTGAATTGTTTTTCTTCGCTTATGGGCATCAATATGTACAAGAAATGGGAAAGAATTCACCACGCAAAACCAGTCCGGCCAGACCCCATGTCACCGGTGACTATCGCTAGCGCTCTCGGTCAAGGTGTGCGTATCCGCATCGGGAACCCTGCAGACGGTTGGCTGGAGCCTGGAGGTGAAGTTCCGACGATGCGCTCTAGACAAAAATGTCATTTTGGGCACCTGGCTTGAAACCCATCCTGGCGTTGTATCCGGGGCTATAACCGACATCCGGCACGTTGTTTCCTTCGGCTTCTACGAGAACGTCAGCACTTGAACAGTTGGAAAGGGGCGTCATTGCCATTCGACAACTTACGATTCCAAGCAATCATTTGCTTCGGTCCAGCAACACACTTCTTCGAATCATCTCGGCAAGCGACGGGCGGCTTAGCGATACCCAGTCGCTTCGTGGACACGGCGTTGCTAACATTGCATTTGAAGTTTTGCATGTACCTTTTTGGCCTGTCAGTATCTTGCCCTCCGATCGTGCCTGGTTAAGGTGACTTACATGTTGGGCTGGCCACCTGCGATGAACGAGTCAGTCAAATGCGCCAAGGGGGCCCAGAAGCGAGGGTGATCTTACATCCATCTGGAACCCAGAGCCAGGCGCAGTAGCAGCCTCCCACCGGGCAAGCAGGCAAGTCCGGAACTTGGTACAAAGTTACGCGTTTCCAAGGTGTGCTGTTTTCGACCACAGTCAGTTGCTGATCATTTCCGTCCAATAGGTCCCAACCTACTGCTCGACAACCGAAAAGACGACGAGGTTCTCCATCGTCACCTTTCTGATATCTGACTGATAGCTGATGGCGAATGCTGTGCCTGCCGTGGTGGTATAGTTTTGCGTGTGCATCGCCCCTCCTTTGACGTCCGGGTTATCCACGAGACACTTGCCCGGCCCAGGCGCATGCCAGTCGTCTGGGTGTTCGCTGCAGTCTGGCCACTGCGTCGCGGTCTTGCCGCCGTAGGAAAGGCTCGTGCAGCCGCGATTGGCCCCGAGGTCGACGGTAAACTTGCCCCGGGCGGGTAGGTTGAGGAACTGGCCCGCTGGAGGGGGCACTTTGTCGCATCCGCGGTCGGCTTGCATCCACCACCTGGCTTTTGGGAGTTGGTAGAGCGGGTTGACTACCAGGTTGGTGTTGGAGTCGTCTACTACAGTGTTGTTCCCACCCTGTCATCGTTTTGCTTAGCGTTATGCTTACCACGAAGGAACATGGCTCATAGTTCCGAGACTCACTCGACAATACATGCCATCGGCCCATGCGGCAATGTGCCCCTCAACGATACCGGCGGCGACCAGCGCCGAAACAAGGCTAACCGAGATCTTCATGGTATCTTGACGGTATCTTGATGACGACTGTTTGTTGACAGCGGTAGACGAGGAATACTGTGCACAAGAACTGCAAAAAGAGCGGATGAAGAGCAGTTGCCTCAAAGGGAGTGACTATGCCTCTGGGCTTGATTCAAAAAGAAGGACAAGTAATGAGCGATTTGGCCGGACTGCAAACACGAGGGAAACAATAGAGTCGTTGAAGAAACGATGGAAAGCTCCTTATACATATCGCAAGTAAGGGGGCATCTGGGGGTAGTCGAGATTAAGGAAGTTTGTGGCGTTGACACCGTCTGTGCAGATCAACAAGCTACCCCATATCGCGTGTCTGGGCGTTTGACACTTTTTCCTCCCTCTGTACCTTAATGTTGCGCTAGGTCACCTTAGTCCGATGGATCACGGTAGGCAGCAGCTTAAATCCCGAGATGCTTCTTCCTGCCTACCTACCGTCCTCGTCGTTCCTGCCTTCATCCGAAGAAGGCACTCCAACCACGTGCCTACCTACCTAAGGAGCCAATTCACCTCATTCTGTCACCAGCACACCCATCCGGCCACTTGGCCGGGTGGGTTAGACTCTGACGCAGAGTCGATAGTAAATGAAATACTCCAATGAAGCCGTGCTGGCCTGAGGGGCGCGCTGTTCGAATCCGAATAGGGGCGTGAATTATCGAGTAAGTTGTCACCAGCCCATCTTTCCTTTCCTTTTTGGCTTTTTGGACATTTTTCAAGAAGGGCTTTTGAGGCCTGTTCGTTTCATTCATGAGAGACGTTGAAGAGCGGAACTCCGCTGGTATGGGTGGTCTTTTTCCGCTCCACTGCTGGGATCGGCTTCACTTAGACCCACGACCGGTACTATGTAACACCGCTGGGAAGCTCTGTCGGTCGTGGACATGCAATATGCACGAGCATCCACCAAGGACACCTTTTCCTCTACTAATAATTCTCCTAAACTCTACGAGATGCGGGAATTGAAATCTGAGGAACGCGATCGCGAGGCCGAGACAAGATTGACGTCGTTTCAAGGCCTGCACTTGTGGCGCTCTAAACTCAATGAACAACGTTTTTTTCGAAGCGACTAGCGATCCTCCGACTAAAGCCACGCCAACCCACAAAACAAGGGCACAAAAAAAAGGACAGTCCACCATCCATCCCAAGGTTTCGGGACCGGAAGGCGGCTGTGGCTGCACCGTTTCCACCCGTCGTCCGTGCAGACCCACAGACGGGGGCAAACGGCGCCGTTCCTTACCTGTCAACGGTCTGCTCCCGATGTTTCCCGGTGAGCGGGCAACCAGGCGTACCATCAGAACCCCCAGGCCCGGCTCTCCCGGGCGCGAGGCACCCAAGAGATCTAGGCAAATCAAAGATCCTGTCGTATCCCGACTCGTGCATTCAGCCAGACATGGATGTCGCGCTTCCTACCAGCGTCAGCGGCTCTGCTTTGTCAGGACTCGTAGCGAATCACCATCGCGCTGTCGGTCATTTGATTTCCCCGATTGAAATCGTGCCGAGGAGGAGCAGACAGATCTACGTGCTTCCCCCTGAAACCAAGATCTGAACAAATCAAAAGTACTGGGATTATGTTTCGCTTGACAAAGTGCCGGTTCGCCTGAGTCTCTGGGGACCAACCATGAAAGCGTACTGGCTGGCTAAATTCCAAACGGCTGCGCCTCGGGCCTAATGTTCAGCTGGAGAGAATACCATGCAGGCTAAAGGCCACGAACTCGATGTTGGACTCATCACAATGTCTCTGAACCTCTCATTTTTGAAAGCGTGAATGGCCAGCCATGTCATCGGCCCTTGTTCGGCCGAGTTCTCCTCGCCCTGTAGGGCGTGCAGGGATAGCGTACTCCAGGTATGCGGCCCACTAGCAATTACCTTAGCCCCGTCGCGGGGTTCAGTGGGGAAAATTGTGCAAGGTCTGGGTACCTACCTTGCAAACCCTAATGCCAATCTTTATTCTCCAGCCTAGGATGCCCACTGCCCACTCTTCGTAGTGGGAGGAAAGTCGTGGGGGGGAATAGAAGGTCTGCCTAGGATTGAGTAAAGCGAAGTACTGGTCCGGGAGTTGTTTGGAATGGTACCAAGGTAAGGTAGATCGATAAGCACCACCCAAATGTGCGAGACCTTTGACTTGACCAAGTAAAAGCAAAGTTTGGTTGGGGTCCAAGACCAGGATGTCGAAGATGGGCCGCGCGTGCCTTTCCGCTCGGCTTCGCGGATAGCTGACCAATGACCCACGGCTCCTCTTGGCAGGAGCCTTATTCCGTGGACTCTGCAGTCGAGACGCGCGTGTCTTTCGTGGACACTCGCGCGCTTTGCGTCACCAATGTCCAAGGGACCTCGTACCGGGCCTTTTCCCGCCTTTGCGTAATGATGAGTCGTCGTCGGCGCGGCGGGTTGTGCAAGTGAGATACAAGAGTAGAGTCGATAGGAAGACCATGTGTTTGGATGGCGCCTTCCTCGATCGTAGATTGCGCTTCACGGGTCGTCGTGGGCTTCGGGTCTTGAGCGATTGCACAGGGTCGGTTGACTTGTGAGGGGGCCAGAAGGAACATCAGAAAGAGGGGGGTAGTCGATCTATTTTCAGATAAAAAAAAGAAATCTTCGAAGCGTCTTATACATGACATTCCACCAAGCCTTTGGCATACCTCTAGCGAACACTGTGTATTAATACATCCTTCCCTGATTACATAATACTAGAGAGACCGAGGCCCATGAGTTGTTCTCTCTAGTTTTGACAAATGAAGGAACGAGGAACGACATTATTACAGGGGCCATATGAAAAGACAACAAGATTTGGCCAGCCAAAAGGAGAATATGGTGACAGGTTTTGTTGTACATGGGGTCTTGGTATGGTGGCGGGTTTACTCGAGTGCACGAGTGCTTCGTTGCAGTCGTTCATGGGAGATTCGCGTAGCATGGACCAAGCTTTTCTTCGAGATTCTGAGAGATAGGTTGGGCATCGCGGAGGCGGGAGAATAGATTATCTTCGTTGTCCTTCTTGTATCTTTCGAAGCGGTTTTCTCGGGAGGCTTTTCCGTCGGAGGGATGCTTCTCAGCAGCCTTGCTGCTGCTGCCGCCAGACGTCAGTTACTGTCCAAGGGGAGTCTCTCTAGGACGGTTGAAGTAAAAAGCAGTGTCTTACGAGCTTCCAGCATGGTTATGCTGAGAGGATGTGTGGCTGGCGGGCATGATGACGATGCTGTGTGTTTCTGCACGAGAGCAGTAGCGTACAGTAAAGTACAGAGAAGGTAACGATCGTGAACCGTAGTGACGAAGATGAAGCTGAGGTGTTGTTCAGAACGAAGACGTAAAGTATTCTTTGGACGGATGATGAGGAGATGTCGGACTCCTTAGAAGGTATCTAGAGAGTAATAGAGAGAGTATAGAGCGACAGAGTGAATCTCACATTGTAGGCCGAGTGGCGGATGATAGAGTTTAAGTAAATGAAGGTGAAAGTGTTGCTAGAAACAAGAGAGTCGCTGGCGACCCAGATCTGGACGCCTTCTGGAAGCGGTCAAAAGGGTGGAAAGTACGCGGGGGGGAGGTCAATGAGAGATTGGCGAAGGGCGACGGCGGCCAAGGCATAGACTGCGGCACTGAGTACCGAGAGATCTGGGTGACGGCTGCTTGGACACGCCGTTCATCTAGAGAAAAGGCAGGGGGGAGGTGGGATTACGGACGACCGTCCGGGATACTTGGCGACTTTTCCGGTACCCAAGTTCCCGTTTAGTGAAAGTGCAGGTATTTTGATATGTTGAGTCCGGCATTTGGCCTCGTGCCTGACTGCCAGAAGAACTTGATTTGGTTTTGGTTGTGCCTCCAAGCACCCAATTTCCCTGCCTGCAGGATCAACAGTGGGATAGACTCAGGAACAGAGCCGTGTACATCGTTGGAGAGGTCAAGCAGTGGCAAATCTGACAGGCGCAATTCCCGAGGATGCATCAGAGTGAGACGCAGGCCTCATTGCCCAGGGGGCTAGTGAAAGGGGAAAGACATGGTGGAGAAACCTTTGAGGAAAAGGGTGGTGCGGATGCGAGAAAAAGGGTGTTAGGGGTGTGAGGAGAGGAAGCAACGCAAAGGTCGGCAGAAAGTGATTGATGATTGTGCTTGACAGGTAATTAGATCGTGTCCAGACCTGAGGTGAGGTGTCTGCAGAGCAACAAGACCACCTGGGAAAAGCCCCCAAATTGGATGGGGATGATCCAAAACTTCCCTCGTCGCAACTGCGACCGAGAAGCTTGCAGGTAGACTATTGCAGGGATTTGCTTCTGTCTTCTTTTCCACTTGGAGAAATAGCGCCCTCATGGGCCAAATATGTCGAGTTCACGCCCAGTGCATCCTTGAAGGAGAGAACAGGGCGGGCTCCATGAAATGCGGGGGAAAAGGGCGACACTTTTCTGGTAGCCTTACACCCGGATGCGTCTTGCTGCGCATCGGGCGCAGACGTGGTGAAGAAGTCCTTCAGTGCGGGAGGCTTGGTTCTAGAGGCGCTCAATGCTAAGAAGCGGTGAGCTTTCGAAGAGGCCAATCGTCTACCTCGCGCGCCACACTGCGTGATCGAGGTTGCCGATAACTAGAAATGATTGAGAAGGCTCTGAGTTGCTTCTGGAAGAACTGGGTGGGGGGCGTTTGGTGAAGGAGACCGTTCTCCTACTCGGGCAACCACTCGTAGAAAGCGCCATGGGATGCTTGTCCTCGTTCGTGGATCCCGGGTAGCAGCGGGGAGCGGGCTGGTCATCGATCAGCCCGCAATCGTCAAGTTGAGGGCGGGCGTAGTTGGAGGCAAAGACGGGAGGTGAACGCTGGGTCTGAGATGGACGGGCGATGGTAGAGCGAGGTTTGGTGGTCGAATTTGGCCCCTGTAGCTACCTGACCAGGGTAGATAGCGTCTATCATTAGGAAAGAAATACAATGGAGTGAACAACTCACGATCAGCAGATTAGATTCGAAACAAGCCAAAGTTGCCGTAGGTCTTTGGGGTTAGTCGAAGGGACCAAGGCAGGGTTGTCGCTCCGGGTCGTGATCCGTGTCCGTACCGGCGGAGGCGACCTTTGGAGAAAGCACGCTACCTTTGACTGACGGGTGCCAGGCAAATCTGTTGAGATAAGGTCGTGATAGCGTGAAAAGTGACTTGAGGTAGGGCGGGCTGAGAGCTGAGCCCGGTAAAGCCGCGACATGGTGATGAAAAGGGCGGAGACGAAGCCGGCTCGGATGGAACCACACGAGAGAGGACGGGCGGTAAGGACGGACTGCCCGTGAGGAGTAAGTACCTAGGTACCTTCCGTATGGCACCCGGGGCAGGAAAGGGCATGGTCATCTGCTTCCTCCTACCTGCCTTGCCTTGCACCGAATTTTGGACACGTACCAGAGGTACCATATCCATATGTTCTGTGCCAGACGGGATGGAAAGAGCAGCAGGGTTGGGGAACGGATGGGGTGAGAGATGGAAGGACCACAGTGGTAAGTGTTCCACTTTGGGGTTGGAGACGTACCTCAGGCAGGTCAGATCCAGTAAACGTCCCATCCCTGCTTTTCGACCATCTGAAGTCACGCCCATCCATCCCTACATCTTTCTTTTTCAAGGGCCACCCATGTTTTGAGCTTCTATCCTCTTCTGGACGGTCGTCCTTCCCGACCTCTCGACGATCCTCCTCATCCTGGTCATTTCCATTTCGTACGCCTGCACCGTCTGGTTTCCGTACCTTACGGATAGATATGGTCTCATCAGCATCAAAAGTACGTACTTGATTCTCTCGTGCGGCGTGCCTCAGGTACGGATGCATATCTCCGGCCCAGCAAGGCCAGGGACTCGCAATGTCGTAATCTCCTTCACCTTGTCAACTCCCCCCCTGTCGGATCCTAGACTTTGACACTTACACTTGACTCCAGGCTCTATCCGCACGGCACCTCTCCAAGCACCCCGGAACCTTTGACACCAAGTTGGAGGTAAATCCTGACCGGCAACAGTAAACATCCGAGCCCTGTACGGAGTACTCCGTACGCAAAAGGATACATTTTAACCCTACACCCTTGACGGCAATGCCACGGTGCCACGTGGCATACAATTTCTCTGAGTCCTTGGCTCAATACCTAAGCCCTGTAATCGCCCTGTCGACACACTCCCTTGCCCTAGACACCAAAAAGAGTATCCCCAAAGAAGCCTGGAAGCTATGATGCATGACATCTCGCCCACACCAGTGCGAGCCGGACGCACTACACTTTTGTCCGCCATCTTTTTGGTCCTCTGCTACGGTGCTTAGATGCGTCGTTAAAGTGTGCAATGAGCCTGTCCAGCCATCTGAGCCTGGTCTGCCGTCTGAACTTGAGATTAGTGTCAGGAATGCATTGGTTCGTGCAGCCCTAGCGACACACCCACGTTGGCCATGACTTGGTGGTCAACATACGTCTACAAGGTGTTTCTATCTAGCTCAAAGCTGACGTTAGTGGCAGAAAATCCGCATAATACTTTTTGACCGAAACAATCCCAGCCGCGAGATGTCAGACTCGGTAATGATCGCTCAACATCAACATGTTCCATGTTCTTGCACATGGATTGTGTGGCGCCTCTAAAGTACCGTTCGAACCCGAGTAACTGGACCGACGGAATCCCGCGTCCCGCCGTTATGCAAGCAACCGTAGACCATACAGCAAATGCGAGAACCACGTTCAACAACGCAGCGCCGACTCACTCACCAGTCGTACCTGATGACGCTTGCTGCAGTCGAAGCAGCTGCCTAAAGATTACGCTGCGAATGTGTCTCCACGACGCGGAAGACCGAGATGGTCTC